CATTGGTTTCATGAGATAATTATGAAGCACTAAAGCAAATCAGCATACTAGACTAGTTGAATATGCTAACATTCTAATTTTGTATAGAAGGTGATTACTGTTATTATTACTTATAAAGTACAGTAAGTGTACATAATGCTTTATAAACACATAGGCAGACAAGGGCTCTGCCCAGAGGTACCTAAGTTCTAATTGCTTGAATTAGACAATCTAAATGAAAAAGAAAAAAAAAACACACCAAAACCCCAAAACTACTCTGTGCTAAAGTGGAAGGAGACCAGGCAGAAAATGGGGTTAAAGAAATAAGTGTTCTGGAAGGACTGAAGGATAAAAGCAAGTGTGCTTTTTAGTCTTAGACTGAAGCTGCTTCGCTCAATTCAGAGAAAATCAAAGCACTGTAACTACATCCACTTAAAAAGACTTCCTGATGCCTCTTAAGAAATTCTAATTGGCTCTTATAAATTCAGTCCTCCCCTACTTGCCCAGACGTAAGTGTCTGGATCCCCAAATCCCAAAGCAGAACTCACAGGGAGTCACATGGAAAGCAGAAAAGGGTGCCAGATCGTAGGCTCTTTGGGGCAGGAAACAAGTCTGATAGGTACTTGATCTTCTAAATCTATTCTCTTGGCCAAGACTTTCCCAGACTTGATACCACTGATGGGAAGAATGAAAACTGTAGCAGCACCCTTGTTCGCACATAAGCAAATCTACCTATAAAAGCATCCCTTATAAAAACCCTTAAAGCCCACCCTTTGAGGAAGCCTTCCCCCAAATCGGAATTGAAAACAACAAACTGACTCTTTACTATTCCTCATTAGGTTTCATAATGTGACAAAAATGTTCTTTGGTCTCAATATAGTCCATTTAGGATGAGTAGTCTGTGACTCATGGAAAAGCAGATCCAGGGAATGCTCTAACTCCTATCTGAAAAGCTACGGAGCAGTAGCATTTCAACATATGGACACATGTGTAAGTTAAATGTTATCATATTTTAAATATAAATAACCCCAGCCAAATCCAGTTTTTTAATTGCAAAATTATTGTTCATCTGCAATGGTACTTTAGGTGTACTATTTATAAATATGTCATGCCAACTGCTTGTTTCGGTTATGACATTTTAAAAATTTGAATGTATCAGTTTAGGACTTTAACGTCTTAAGAGAAATCAGCCACTTAGATTTTGTCTTTGAGGTTAACTCTACCAGGATTAGAAGGTACTATACAAAGCTATACTGTTCAAATACAGAGCTATTAATATATCATGAGGCATAAAATATTAAGAGCAAATCCAAGTCTTGAGAGAAGTTACAGGAAAATTCCAGTGTTTTATACCAAATTTACTATGTCCTAAAAACAAAAGTTTACAATTTTTGATGTTTTCTTTATCATGAGCTTAAATGACTCTTTTCGTGTCTTTTTGAAAATGCACCCACACACAATTGGACCGATTTGTTAAAATTATTTTGACCATAGTCTCTCTTTATAAACACATATAATAAACATATAAAGATATATGTGCCAACTGGTTTTCAGGTAAGCCCTATGTGAACGAATTTTTCTCAGTTTTGATTTTTTAAAGTTTGAATTTTAATCCCAATTAGTTAACATACAGTGTTATATTAGTTCCAGGTGTACAATATAGTGATTCAACACTTCCATCTATCACTCTGTGCTCATCACAACAAGTGCATACCTTAATTAATCTCCTTGACCTATTTCTCCCCACCCCCCTCCTCCCCTCTGGCAACCAGTTTGTTCTCTATAGTTAAGAGTCTGTTTCTTGGTTTCTCTCCCCTCTCTTTCTCTTATTTTTTTCCCTTTGCTTGTTTGTTTTGTTTCTTTAAAAAAATTTTTTTTTCAACGTTTATTTATTTTTGGGACAGAGAGAGTCAGAGCATGAACGGGGGAGGGGCAGAGAGAGAGGGAGACACAGAATCGGAAACAGGCTCCAGGCTCCGAGCCATCAGCCCAGAGCCTGACGCGGGGCTCGAACTCAAGGACCGCGAGATCGTGACCTGGCTGAAGTCGGACGCTTAACCGACTGCGCCACCCAGGCGCCCCTGTTTTGTTTCTTAAATTCCACATATGAGTGAAATCATAGGGTTATTTGTCTTTCTCGGACTTACTTTGCTTAGCATTATACGCTCTAGCTCCATCCACGTCATTGCAAATGGCAAGGTTTCGTTCTTTTTTATTTGTTTATTTATTTTTCAAAAAAAAAATTTTAACGTTTATTCATTTTTGAGAGATAGAGACAGAGCATGAGCAGGGAAGGGGCAGAGAGAGGGAGACACAGAATCTGATGGAGGTTCCAGGCTCTGAGCTGTCAGCACAGAGCCTGAAGTGGGGCTCGAACTCATGAACTGCGAGAGCATGACCTGAGCCGAAGTCAGACGCTCAACTGACTGAGTCACCCAGGCGCCCCTCATTCTTTTTTTTTTTTTAATTAATGTTTATTTATTATTGAGAGAGAGAGAGACAGAGAGAGACTGGATACAAGTAGCGAGGAGGGGCAGAGAGCGAGGGAGATACAGAATTTTAAGCAGGCTCCAGGCTCTGAGCTGTCAGTACAGCTGAGCTCTAGTTGGATGCTCAACTGACTGAGCCACCCAGGTGCCCCCATTCTTTGTTATAGCTAAGTAATATTCCATTCATATATATACATCTTCTTTCTCTCTTCATCTATCGATGGACACTTGGCCTGCTCCCATAGCTTGGCTATTGTAAATAATGCTTCCATAAACATAAGGGTACAGGTATCCCTTTGAATTCGTTTTCTTTGATTCTTTGGGTAAATACACAGTAGTGCAATTGCTGGATCATAAGGTAGTTCTATTTTTAATTTTTTGAGGAACCTCCATACTGTTTTCCTACGTGAAATAATTTTAGTCTTCATTCCTGCCCTTCCCTCCTTCCTTCCCTTTCCCCTTCCCCCGTCCCCCTTCCCTTCCCCCTTCCCCCTTCCCCCGGTTTCCCTTTCTTCTTCTCTTCCTTCTTTTGTTGCAGAAAACGAGGACTTGAATCAGAGCTTGTTTTGCTCTGGAGAAAGCTTCCAGTAAACCAGAATTATGAGTCTCCATGATTTTGCCAACATGTATTTGCTAAAGGGTTTGGTTCAGAGGCTTGAATAGCTACAGAGTATATGATAAAAAGCCACTCGTATATTAAAATATTGCCCTCTTCAAAAACAAAAACAAAAACAAAAGCAAAAAACTACCCTGACTCCCAACAGAGCTATTCCTTCTTTGTAAACACGATGTTCGGACTATATGGTAGCTACGGATTGGTGTGTAAGTATAGATAATTTTCCATCTGGTCCCTGGAAGGTGCCTGACAACTGAACTGCCTGGCCATAGGTGAACTGCAGGGTCACACAAGCATTGTCCTGAAGCCTGTTGGGCCATATTGGCAGTGCCTGGAGCGGTGAGAGCGGTCCTCACTCACAGTGATTAGGGCAAAGTCCAGGGCAAGTTGAGCTAAGAGTGTTTCTTAACTTATCAGAAGTGCATACACCCAACTTAAATGATTTTATGCATTCTGACCAATGGGAAAATATTTGCAACGCACTTTGAGCAGTGTTCTGCGTTCCAAACACCAAATGTTTAAAATATATACGTGCCAATTAACAAACATGAAAGGATTCTCATAGGATAAGATCAGAAAGTGATGTTTCTCTGGACAACTTAACCTCCCACTCAGTCATTGACAGTTATCCTTTTGAGAAATGATTTTTCTTCTCCTCTCCTTTTCATTTCATATATAAATATAAATATACATACTGTATATATTTTGATGGCATGAGACAGTTTAAAACATGTAGATTTTAACAGGTACTTATTTTAAACTCTTTAAAAAACAATTAATCCGGTCTACATGTATGTATTAAATGCCATTTTCCCAGGCACCATGCTGGGTCCTGTGGAAAGAAAGACAAACTTCCTGCTCCGAAGGAGATTTTTGAATTTAGAAAGGAGACAGAACTGCAAACCCACCAATGCCATTAGAATGTGAAGGAAAGTTACCCTGGAGCTGTGAACAGAATATAATAGGAAATCAAGGAAGAAGTACTTAGGCCCGCTACATCCAATAGCCGTTACTTACTTTGGCTATGTCAGCCAGCTGTCGTACCTGCTAAGACAGCATTACTAACTGGCCCTTGACACTGAACACTTGGAAGCAAAATTGTGCCCCAACTTGGAAGGTTCGTATGTACCAGCATACCTGCCACTTTACAATCTTGTTTTCAAACCATTCCTTCCTAAATGACTTGCTTATTCCCACACGACTAATCTGAACTTAACAGTTTCAGGAACAGTGATTCCTACTGAGGAATCACGGTTTCTGAAACATGCATAATTAGGATCCAGTTATGTAATTCCTTTGTGATGACAGGGTGTTTTCAAACTTCTCTGTTGAAAAAAGGGCCTTTGCAAGAGGTGCTGGAAGCTGATACGCTATGTCCTTCCCTGAAAATTTCCTGTTCTATCTTCTAATTAGCAACATGCTGCATCTTTACTTATTTTAAGTATTCTACTTGTTGTTAAATCCATCTCCTAGTTAAGAATACCTATATATTATTGTTTGATTAGCTAGAATTCTAAGTTTCAAATGTGGGAATTCCTGAGGCTTTTAAACCGCAGGCAGTAGCCCAAGATCCCAAACTTTCTGCTATTCTGTTAAGCTTCCACTGGAGATTCAAGAATGCAACGAAACTTTCTGCTGCTTCAACCAGGGCTGATCCTACTTTTAGTAACTTTAAGAAGCTGAAGTTTAAAAGTGTGAGCAGGGGATCTTTCTCTCCCATTCTGTTTACTTCCTGCTTCCCACCCTCCACTCTTTCCATTTGAAGCAAGTGTTTTAACGAATTAGAGGCAACTCGGAGATCAAACACTATTCAGGAAGACGCCTGCATTAAAAACTCACTGCCACTTGGCTGGGGCAAAACCGCTGGCTGCTCCTGCGGTCACTGCAGTGCGCACCTGACGTCTCACGGCTGACAGCGGATCCGGTCTCGGCGAGAGCGCATTGCACATTTTGCTCCAGCCCGGAGGCGGCGGGCGGCGGGAGGGCACTCCCGGGCTGTGCAGAGCGCAGCAGGGGCACCGAGCCAGGCACTTTGCCCCAAAGATGGCCGGGTCGCTCCTAAGGGACAAACGCTCCAGGGAAAACTTGAGCCATCCCAGAACCTCTTGAAGACCTCTCATTTGGTTCCTCCACAGAAAGGGTCTTCTATTTTTGATCCCCGGGACAACTTCAGAGAACGAGGAAAGTTGGGTGGCTACTTAACGATTTGGGAGCGTGGCAATGATTCAAACTGTGGCTTCACCCTGATGATCTCTAGGGACTCTGCGTGGAGTTCTAACCATCGCAGCTTCAGACCCAGAACCCAAGGACAAGGAATCGCGCATCTACAGTCGAGCCTCGGCCTTGACCCGTTTCTCTGGTTCCGCCCAGCTCTGGTGGAAACTTCCCCCAGGTTCACGCGGGGCTGGGAATTAGGTGGGAAAGGCAAGGCCCCCTTGATCCCTTTACAGCAACTTCTCAGTACACAGCTGTGTCTGTTCAGAGTAGGCACCCTTGTGGCGGACCAAAGCGAGCACCTTCCTAGGACCTCGCAGAGAGAGTGGATGGAGGCCAAGAGGACCCTGAGAGGACCTTTCCCGTCCACACCCCGCCTCCTTCCCATGGGAGGTGAAAATCAACCCTCTCGCACGGTTTACTCCTCTCTTCTTCCTAAACATCCAGCGCAGTGTTTTAAAGGCGCCCAGAGCATCCTGCAACTTTGGGGAAAGAGAGCGCCCGACTCCCGCTCTCCCACTGCCCCTGTCGCGTTAATCCGTTTCCTTTGGTCGCTTTCAAACTCGCGTGGGTAGTATCCCCGGATCCCCGCCCCAACCTGGAAGCGAGCGCCCCCGGCTGTTCACGGCAGCCCCTCGGCGCCTGTTTGCAGGGAGCTCGGCTTCTGGCTCGTCGCAGATCCAGCTGCGGTTCCGACCGGTCCCCAGCCTCGCGAGGCACACGCGCGCGTGCACACACACGCGCTCACACTCCCGCTCACACTCGCGCATCCTCGCTCCCGGCACCCCACCCTCCGAGCCGCTCCTCCACGGGGGGGGGGGGGGGGGGTGACGTCAGGACTGCAGTCCCGAGGAGAGCGGCTGGAGAGGGTTGCGCGCTCCTCGCCTAGGAAGCTGGAGGCGCACTCGGGCAGGCGCCGCTCGCGCGCTCCTCCCTCTCCTCTGCACCCGCTGTCACGCTGCCCGCCCGCGGGGGAGCCTCGCGAGCCTCCAGGTGAATTGAAAGTCGTTTCCGGGGGAGGACGGAGAGGGTGCTGCAGTCCTGGCAGGCACTGAAACTGCAACTCGGACAGAAACGACCCGGCGGAGGAGCGGGCGCGCGGCGGCGTGCGCAGCCTCCCCGGGCTGCCGGAGGCGGCCGCTGCACCGCTAGCCGCGGAGCGCGGCGGCCGGACCTCCGCCCCGGCACTCCCCGCCCCGGGCGCGCTCGCCGGGGAGAGACCCCCGAGTCCTGCGCATTTCGCAGCTGCGCCGGCGTGGGGAATGAGAGCGCGGTGGCTCCGGGTCGCCGCGGAGCAGCTGCCGGTGGGAGAGAGAGGCGAGGCGAGGGGGCGGCAGCCTCGGCCCGAAGTAAGTGCAGCAGAAGTTTGCGTCGGTTTCCCCGCCGCTCCCCTGGAGCGAGTGGCAGGCACATCTCCTCCCCTCGTTCTCTGAGGACGACGAGGGCACACTTCCGAGGCAGTCTCGCCCGGGAGAGAAAGTGAGCCTTACCACAGGCGGGCGAGGACTCCGGGAGGGCCAGGGCAGGGAGGGATCCCGATGGGGGGGCGGTGAGGGGGTGAGACCCCGGCTGGGGTGAGGGACGCGTGAGGAGCCCGAGCCTGGAGCTCTGAGGGCTGGAGGGGGGTGGCGAGAGTGAAGGTGGAGGTAGTCACACCTATGCTGGTGACCTTGGCGTGCCCCCCTGGAGCGGCGAGCCGGGGGCTTGTCAGAGGCTGGAAACGGCGCGGCTAGAATATTGCGTGGATCCTTACCCGGGGCCGCGGGGAGGCCATCGCGCTTCCGGACGCCGGACGACGGGGGCACGAGGAGCGAGAAGCCGGCGCGAGGCGGCGACGCTGGAGGGTGGGGACGCCGGCGAGCGCAGAGCCCGCGCTCGGAGCGCGAGGTTGGGGGTGCTCCGAGGCGCTCCAGCCTCCGCGCGGGAGACCCCGGTCGGGGGAGGAGGCGGGCGTGAAGCCTCAGGTCGCTGCGGTGGCCGTCGGGCGCCTCTGGAGCCTCGGTGGCTAGTGTTCCCAGTCCGGAGCAGGCTGACCCTCCGGCTGCCCCCCACCCTGCGCCGGTCCCCCCGAGTCTGCAGGCGCTTCCCCGCCCCGCCGCCAGGGCCGGACGCCACCGGGCTTGCCCGCGACCCTAGCTCCCTGCTCAGCCGTTCGCGGGGCCCGTTCAGCTCTTCCTTGGCTCCTTCCTCTCTAACTGGACTCCCGAAGGAGGTTTTATCCTTTAACTTGACCGAACTTCTGATGGGGAACAAAAAAAAAAAGTTCACGGCAGCCGCGCGCCTCGCTAGGAGCAGAGCCCCGCGGAGGGCAGGCGGGGGCGCCGCGGGCCGCCTCGCCTGCCCTCTCCTCTCCTGGGAGGGTTCTCAGGGAAGTTTGGACAAAATGTGACGCGATTGTTCTGGGAAGGCCACGAAGGCATCTTCTTCCAGAGTAGGACCGTCTGTGCCTGGGAGTCCGGTGTCCCACCCGGCTTCTGGTACCAAGGGTACATACACTTGGGGGGACGAAGACGATTAATTAAACCCCATCTTTCAAAAAGTCGTTCATGATGCATACTGGTCACCCAATTTCATTTACTCCGATTCATTCATTTATTCACGCAGAAACACTTTAGGAGGCCCAGTGTGTGCCAGGCATTGTGTTAGAGGCTGTGGCAACAGAAATGACTGATGTTTGGTTCCAGTACTCAGGGAGCTTACAGTCTGGAAGAGCAGAGGTCGGGAAAGAAGATGGAAAAAATACGTGTCCTACAGGAGACGGCAGGTGCTACCTGGTTTTCACCACAGTGACTCACTCCCATCTCGCTAACTGTGGAGCCCAACAGCTGCTGTATTTCATCCCCCCTGAAGTCAGCGACACTATCATTCTTTTTGATGCCCAGAGGCCAATACTGTGCCAAGCACATAGTAGGTCATCGATAAAGTCTGTTAACTGAACGGATGAAGGGATAAGTTATTCATATTGAAGAGTGTTTTAAATTTTTTTTTTCAACGTTTATTTATTTTTGGGATAGAGAGAGACAGAGCATGAACGGGGGAGGGGCAGAGAGAGAGGAAGACACAGAATCGGAAACAGGCTCCAGGCTCTGAGCCATCAGCCCAGAGCCCGACGCGGGGCTCGAACTCACGGACCGCGAGATCGTGACCTGGCTGAAGTCGGACGCTTAACCGACTGCGCCACCCAGGCGCCCCTTGAAGAGTGTTTTAAAGAAAGATAACCATGCTGTATAGTAGTCCCCCTCATTGGAGGGGGAAGGGATCCGTCCAAAACCCCCAGTAGATGCCTGAAATTTTGGAGATAGTACTGAACCCTATACATACTGTGTTTTTCCTTATACATTCATACTTATGATGACGTTTGACTTGTAAATTATGCAAGTAAGAGATTAAGAGTACCATAATAAAATAGAACACTTATAACAAATACTGCAATAAAGTTATATGAATGTGGTCTGTCTCTCTCAAAATATTGTACTGCACTCACCCTGCTTCTTGTGATGATGTGAGATGATAAGATACCTGTCTAATGAGAGGAAGGCATTGTGATGTAGCATTAGACTACTACTGACCCTTTGACCACACCTCTGTGGGTAACTGAAACCTTGGAAAGTGAACCTATGGGTAAGGGTTGGGGGGCTACTCTATTGGGGGGACATTAAAGAAGAAAGAGAATGAGTTGAAAGGGGAAGGAATCAGGGAGCTGGAGAGGGCAGGAGAAAAAAAAAAAGATAGGGCTCATGAACATTTGGAAGTATATATTCTTTAACAAACAACTTTTGTCTTCCATTTTAAGCCAGTGGAAATTAGCAGCACTCAACTCCGTGCTCTATGAAATACAGGAATCTCTGGATATTTGGATTATAACTTTTTTAGAGCAAGGCCTTTGTTAAATTACCGTATGGAGGTCATGATGCCATATTCATGTGGATATGTTGATAATATGGTGATTTGGATGTGTCTAGGGTAGAGGAACAGGTTGATGAAAGAATACTTTAGAATTACCAAAATAATTCCTTCAAACATCTTTTAATATTTTGCTACTTAATGTGCAAATTTCTACTCATGTATTTTAACTATGTTTAATTTAAACTCAATTAAAATATTTATACAGAGATTTTAGCAATGAAGATTAAACACATGGGCAAGACTCTCCTTGGCTTAAGTAATTGAACCCATTGCACAGGTAGAAGGTAGTAAATTCCCAGGTGAATGATAAGGGTTTTTCACCCCATTAATTTTTTTATTTTTACCAAAAAACTAAAACTTCATATATTTTTGTTATGTGCAAAACAGAGCTACTTCTTTTTTTTTAAACCAGTATTTTCAACAGTAATAATAACTTGGTGATCTGAGTCAAGAGCTTATAGGTATTAATCCTGGATTTAGTTATTGGAAACTTTTGGTGCTATGTGATTTGGAGCCATTCTAGAATTTTTGTCAACCTCATTTTCTCTACTTATGAAATAAGATTATTTTACTGAAATGATTTAATTTGTCTTTTAAAATCAGAGTTTGTCAATGTAGAGTGTGCTGGGTTTAGATATTGTACTCTGTAGTTGATGTCATTAATTTGGTATACCAGCACTGAGTAGCAATTTGTAATTAGCCAATAGAAAATAACCCATATTTTCTATCATTAGGTATTTTGAAGATGTTTTAGGACATTGTCAGAGTTCTAGGAAGAGTTTTGTGATTGTGGACAATGTATGGTGACTAAAAATTGTATTTTAGGAGGAACTATAAATAAATACTAAAAATGGTAGCTAAACTTCGGGATTCTTTAACCAGACACTGAAATGTTTCTTCTGTTGTGGATATTTGAATTGAATTGTTACTAGAATTGCACTGGTAGATCAAAAGACTATTTGAATGAATCTTGTAGATTTTACAAGGAGTACATTCTAGAGGGTAGGACTTTATTTTGGAAATGTAGTTAGGGTACAAACATGCTGAGGTTATAGGAGTGTGAGGTTGAAGATTACTGAGCATGGAAATGATCTAGCCTTGTTTTTGCAGATGAGAAAACTGGGGCCTAGAAAGGTGAAGGATCTAAATTTCCCAGGCTCACATTCATATGCACGAGAGTCCTGTATAGTGTCCATTCTAGGTCTGACAAGAAATCACACCCTCAGGACACCTAAGCACAGGGGCACCTTAATGGATCTGCTATCCATGGATTTCCTCTTTTCTCTCTCTCCAGCTCACATCCTGTCTTTGGTCCCACCTCTGAGAAAAGTCCCACCTGCCAACCTCCTACTGTCCCCATTCCTGCTGCCTTTCCAGGTCCTTGATGGGACAGAGCAGTGAAGGGCTTGGTCAAGGGTCCATGAGTTTCAGCCTCACACACAGGTCTAGCCTAGGCAGAACTGTGGAATAAATTAAGTTTGGATTGGGTGCTTCCCACATGTACTTTCCTACATTTTGCCACCACTGCACATCATAGGATCACAGTTTCAGGGCCAGAAGGGGCTTTCGAGATCATCTGGTCTTTATATAGATCATCTATAAGATGAGGAACTCTGGCCTGGAAGAGATTCTGTGACAGTCATATTGTACGGGACCCCATGAATCGAGTTCAGGTTCTTCTTGGCTACTGTGTTCTGTCTCCACTGAACAATGCTGGTGCTGGCTGGTGTTTGATCACTCTGTTAACATAAATAAGCATGGGAGCTCTGGAAGGAGACAACTTGTGTTTATGTTCGAACTCTTGTCTTTCCCCAGCTCCACAACCATGGGCCATTACTTAAGTTCCGGACACCTTTGTTTGCGTATTAGCAAATTTTTGTTTTGTTTTATATGTAGGTATGGGTGTATTTGCATAATCATTTCTTTATTACTTCCACTTTAGATTGTAAGTGTTCTAAGGAAAGGAACCAGGTATTTCTTGCTTCTGTATGTCCATTGTGTCTTCGGTACACAGTGGCTACTCAGTTACCATTTGTTGAAAAAAGGAATGAATGAATGGATGAATGAATGAATGAATGAATGAGTATACAATGACAGAGTGAAGGAGGGAAGTATCACTTAGGTAGAATTGGAATTCTTAATATGAGAGCCATATCCTTCTAAAGATTGTAAATCTGAAACGCTGTTCTCTTTGCATATCACTTTCTGGGTAGACGGGACCCTGAGCTGCCCCATCACCAAGCCTACTTTTCTCATTTGCTCCTTCTTTAAGCAAGGGACTGCTCCATTGTTCTGATGGCTTGGACCCAAAACTTTGGAGTCACCCTTGCATTCTCAAATCTTGCGGCTGTGCCTTCAAGATGTATTCCAAATCCGACCAGTTCTCACCACCTGCCTTGCTACCAGCCAAGACAAAGCCTCTACTATTTCTCACCTGGATTATTGCAGTGGTCTCCTTACGTCTTTCTGGCCCCACCCCAAGCCTAGGTTCAGTGCACAGCCAGAGCAATAGTACTAACACTGAAGTCAGGTCACACTACTCCTGTGCTTACATTGTACGTCCTCACATCTTACTCTTATAGTTCATTTACATCTTCCCGTCTCTTTCAGAGTAAAGGAAACAATCTAGTCCCTTCTAGCCCTTCTGACCTCTCCAACTTCCCCACAATCACTGTGTTTCTTCCATACCGATGTCCTGCCTGTTCCTGCAACATAGCAGGTATGCTTTCTGCAAAGCAACTTTGAACTTGTTCTACCCTTTGTCTGAAATGCTCTCTCCTAAGCACCTGCTGATACTCTCACTCTCTTCAAATCTTCTTCTTAAATTCCTTCTCTTAATCGGGCTTCTCTTGGCTGCCCTATTTAAGATTATACCCCTCTAACTTTTTATCCCTCTTTTCTTGCACGAATTTCCTTTTTAGCTCTTATGACTACAAATACCATATACTCTATTCAAGTACATGCTTAATTAGTATAAGATCTTACTCTTATGGTATCATCTCTGGTTTCCTGGCCTTTTTGTCTCTCCTTTGACCAGGTTTATGGTCAGAGGCAGAATTCTGCCAGGATCCTTAGCGAGTCTATTTGGAAATGACCTGGAAGGAATCTGAAAGGTTGCTTACATCTGCTGCTAGAAATAATTAGGAAATAAAATGCAGTTATCTCTCCAAGATATGACCTAATCATTTCCATGAAATACCTCCGACCAGGGGCTTCTGGAAGGTTGCTGCTGTAAGGTCCATCTTTGGGGCGACAGTATCACATTCCATCATGCTATCCGTGCACGTCATCTCCAAAAGGGGTAAGGGTCTTCTTCCCCTAAGGGATCACATTGTATTTCTTAAATGGCAGTGTCAGTGGGAGGCTGGAAAGAATGGCATTCCAGGGGTCAAAAGTAGAGTTGGGGTCAAACTGGAAAACCAAGCTGTTTCTGGAACATTATTTGTTAATGGAGTCACCTACTGAAGTCAGGATTAAGAACAGGAAGGGGAGAGGGAACTGAGAGAGACTTTGTAGATTAGCTCGTTGACCACCCAGGTTGGATTTTCACTGCTTTTCTTTTTCTTGTCTCCTGCTACTGGGTTTTCTTCTTGCCTGTCTTAACATGACTATTCTCATTGGTTGTCCTGAGGAGGAGTTATGAAACCATATCCATTAACCAATGAGACACTACGTTAAAAAATAATGGTTAAGATGGCACCTCTAAAGCTATCCCCAAGGCTGGGAACAGCCTGTGTGCTGAACAACACTCCTTAATTGCTTGATAATAGGCTGTACCTGTTTAATGCACTGTTGGCTGAACTGATAGGATGTTTTTATGACTTCTTCCAGGATATTGTGAGCAGATATAGTGCCTATGTGTTAAAGTTGGGTACACTATTATATTTCTATAAAATTATCATACTAAACTCTGCAGCTTATAATTCCTGCTAGCTCAGAGCAGTCTCGAGCTCAGGGCAACTTGTAAAATTGACTCAACAGACAGTATTTTTAGTCCTAAGTGCTCATAATAGTTTTGCCTTAACAGAGAAAAGTGTTATGTTGTGCCCATTTTTTGCTCTAGAAATAGAAAGAGAGCCTTGGGTTTAGTGCTTGTAGGTTACCAGTTCTGTTCTTAGCACTCTCTGTGACCTTGTCCAATTTACATTAGTTTAGAGTCGCTTTTCTGGAGCCAGGAAAAGTTACCACTGCAGCAGAAATGGGGCCAACAACCTTTAAGTATAGCTGTGAGAAATCCATTTTCCTGTAACTGTAAGAGATGCAGCCAGAGCAATTCTTCAGGAGAGACCATGTGTGTTGGGGGCGGAGGCAGTGGTATGAACTCAAGGAGAGAAACCCAAACTATCATAACAATAAGAAGAAAGAGGTGGGAGGGGCGCCTGGGTGGCGCAGTCGGTTAAGCGTCCGACTTCAGCCAGGTCACGATCTCGCGGTCCGGGAGTTCGAGCCCTGCGTCGGGCTCTGGGCTGACGGCTCAGAGCCTGGAGCCTGTTTCCGATTCTGTGTCTCCCTCTCTCTCTGACCCTCCCCCGTTCATGCTCTGTCTCTCCCTGTCCCAAAAATAAATAAACGTTGAAAAAAAATTTTTTTTAATTAAAAAAAAAAAAAAGAATAAAGAGGTGGGTGACTTTTAGCTTTTCAAACAACTGGTGTACACGTATATTTTTGTCTAGTTTACAAACACGTTTTGTTCTGAGTGTTTTTCCCAAGTAGGTTGTTTGGAAATATTGTGCTCATAGAAACAATGTTAGATGTGGCATTCAGGGTCCCAGATGCCTTGGGAAGAAGCTACTTAAATCACTTCCGAGCATTAGAAAATAATGCTATAGTTTGATTTTTCATATGAGAAAATGAGTCTTAATTTCTAATTAATAAAATACTGATCTCCATCTTGTTACATTACGAAGATCTAGGTTGCCATTCTTGTAAGTAGCCTCTCTCTTGACTCCTTACAAGTTTGTTCAACAGGAGAATACAGCTGACCTTTGATTTGGGGTGCTGACCTCCATGCAAGTCAAAAAGCTGCACATAACTTTTGACTCCCCCAAAACTTAACTAATAGCCTACTGTTGGATGGAAGCCTTATCGATAACATAGTCAATTAACACGTATTTTGTGTTATATGTATTATAAGCTGTATTCTTACAATAAAATAAGCTAGAGTTAAGAAAATGTTATTAAGGAAATCATATGGGAGAGAAAATACAGTTACAGTACCATATTGTAAAAAAAAAAAATCTGTGTATGAGAGGACCCACGCAGTTCAAACCCACATTGTCCAGGGGTCGACTGTGTGTGTTTATTTCTTTATGAGCTTTTAAACACAAGTATATAAACTCAAGTTAATAAAGCTTATGTAAATAAATAAATAAAGTGCACGTCAACAGTAAATATGTAGACATCGTTGAGAATTAAGATTCATGCAAGGCAAATATCAGTGTCGATACTGGGAATTGGGATGTTCTTCTAGCTTTTGCTGGGACCCCATTCTGCACAGGATAAGGGGGCTTGGTTTGTTGAAAACCGGCTCAGAGTTCTGATGCTGGTTTTCTCAATCGCATCTGTGTCCTTGGCTCACCAGACCCCTAAGACTGGATGCTGGCATCTAGTACCCCTTTGTAGAAGACACAGAGCAATTATCCTTTGCCTCTCTACTCTGTCATCCTTCCGTCTGTCCTGCAGTCTCCCTCCCCTCTCCTTCCTCAGCATTCTGGTCCTTCAAGCACCTTTATGCAATGTGGGATCTGTCCTCCCTCTAGTGGTGGTCAGGAAATTGTCCCTTCCCATTGCCTCCCTCCCCACCCCCAGCTTTATTGAGATGTAATTGACATATAACATTGCGTAAGTTTAAGATGTACAAAG